CATCTCACTAAGAGGTCGACCAGGAGAGAATACACTCCCGAGCTCTTCAGCGAACCCTCTGAATCTGACGATGACACCATTCTTCAGGACAAACCAGAGCAGGAAGAGATGCCTGATGACCCTGGTGCAGGCCCTTCTGATGGTCCTCCTCCTACAGCATAAGTCTAGTGTAAAAGACAAGTACCTGTTATTGAAAATACGGCTGTAAGCTTATTGATCTCACATTAGACTGAAAAAATTTAGACACGACTACTAGTCCATATTGTTGCCAATTTAGCTGTTATATAAATCATTGTATGTATGTGTCTATATTGATTATGCTCGAATATTTTGTTAAATAGAGGCGCATTCTATAATAAAAAAATAAAAAAAAAATAAAACACATTTGTTTAGGCAGGAGGTTGAGTACTTGAGGCACTTAATCTCGGAGCAGGGAATTACACTGTTGCCGTCTTATGTCAATAAAAATTACTGAGTGGCCCCTGCCTACCACAGGAAAAGAGCTTGCAGCATTTTTGGGTTTTTGTGGTTATTATAGGGAATTTTTGCCCCGTTTTGCCTCAATTACTGCAAATCTAAATGAGGTCAAAAACAAAAGGGTTCCAACTTGGTCTCAATCAATGATAGAAAATTTTAACACTCTTAAACAAATGTTCGTTGAAGCACCGTGCAGAGCCCCCCCAGAATTTGCTCCGGGGGCTGAACCGTTCATCCTAACCATTGATTTTAGTATGAATGCAGTGGGAGCTGTACTGTCACAGGAACAGAAAGGAGCTGAAAGATTTTTAGGTGTATAGGGTCAAAAGTAATTATCATAGTAGTAAAGGAGAGATGTTAGCTCTCACTTATGGATTGTCTAAATATTCTCATATTTTAAGGTTGAATGAGTTTGTAGTCATCACCGACAGCAACACAGTCCTGCATTGGTCTACAATGAAAGATCCGGGTAGGACTGTATGCAGATGGTTGGACTTCAATCAACATTTCAACTTCACGGTACAACACCGTGCAGGTAAGTATAACACAAAGGCAGATCTCATTAGTCGAGCAAAACACATGGATGAACCCTCACCCTCGTGCATTGACTCAATAACACAAGGTAAGGAAGAGCTGTACCCTCTACCATGGGATAAGGTAAGTAATATTTCAGAATATATACCCTCCCTGAGCAGGGGCGGACAGACTGCGAATATTCAGGTAAATATTATTTCAAAATATATACCCCTTTCCTGCACAGGTAAAATATGTACACAGATAGAGCTCCCTTTGCATTTATCAGGTAATAATGGCATGGAAGGGAGGGGACCCCCCCTCATAGGAGCTGTACAAGGTAAAATTGCCATAGATCAATATGATCTTGAAAAAGCACAGATAGAGGATACGACATTTAAAACTTTCAAACTTTTATACTTATAAAAATTTGTGATGGAAAGGTAGGTCGCGAATGCGACGATATTACAACGTGGTAATCTATACTCAAATGACGGTCGTAAATAAGACGTTAATACCACGTTGAAATGGTCTAAGCAAATGACGTCATTTTCATTAAATTTGCAACGTTAATACGATGTCGATATGTAGTTGTCCACGGTCGAAAAAATGTTGAAATTATTTCGACCAGATTTCATGTCGACTCCACGTCGGAAAAACGCCTAAATGGCGACCTTCTGGTCGCGCGACGATATCTGGTTTACTGGGATGGTTCGAATCAAGGAGCTGAATGTGCACAAACCTCGAATATATGACGCCCACATCAGCAAGCTGAGATTGGCCAAGAAAATGGGAGAACGAGATCCAAATCCAATTTTTATTCTACCAAGGTTACCAAAAGAAGACATGTTACAGCTGGCCCACGAATTATCTGAAATTAATTTTCCTTGTAAGGTAAATGATGATTTAGTTGATGAATTCTACGAAGACATCAACCACGGGAGCCAACACCATGATGATGATTCATCAACTGGACAAATTAGAAGTATCACAAGAAAAAATAGTGCCAGCAACAAAACAGAGCCAATCAGAAGCAATACGCTGAGCAACAGCAGCAACAGTACTGAGCTGAGAAGCCAATCCTCAGAAGAAGACCTCCAAGAAGGAGAATCTGAAGACGATCATGATCTATATCAATCGTTTAGAGACTCAGATCAGTCTATCAATCAATCAATCAATCAATCAATCCTGAGATCAGTCTATCAATCAATCAACCAACAAAACACCGGAGCAACAGATGGAACACAGTGGAGAAGAAGATCTTACAAGGACACTACAGGATGATGATGAAACAATTACTGAGGATCAGTTGTCCTCCGCAGCCTCAGAAGAAGAAGCACAGGGAATTACTGAGGATCAGTTGACCTCTGCAGCCTCAGAAGAAGAATCACAGGGAATTGAACCTGAGAAACAGAAGGAAGCAAGACCAGAACCAAGGATTACAGAAAACACAGCTCCGTCGACGGAGACAGGATCATCAGGATCAGGAACCAGAAGATCAGGAAGAATAACAAAACCAGTGGAAAAATATGATCCCTCCCCAAGACCAAGAACACCAAGGAGCAGAACACGTCCAGAAGTACCCAAGTCATTAGGACGATCAGGTTCTTCAATAGTGAAAACAATCAAGCCTGCACTCAATGAAGCCTGGGAAAACACTCCTCAAAGAATGGGACCCCCATCAATCAGGAGAAGGAGCAGGTTGAGGGAGACCAGAGCAGCTTCGTTGGAGAAGCTGAACCAGCCAGGGAGTATCAAAATTAATAAGTCACTTTGTGTTGACAGAAAGACAAGATAGTCAGTAGGAAATAGGTCAGCTAGTAGACAAGGAAGTAAGGAGATAGAAGGAGAAAGTAGTAGTTGGACGGACAGTGAAGACGACATTGATAAAAGAAAAGAGGGGGGGATTCATGTCATGGGGAAAAGAAAGGTTTTAATTGCAAAAGTAGAAAAAACAGTAGTGATTCAGCCCAGGCAAGGAAAATGGATACCAGTTAGTGTTGATAATTTAAATAGAAAAAATAGCGATGAGTTTTTAATTCCAGTGTTATTAAATACAATCATTGAACGAAACCTAGTGGTATCCAAATTCTCACCCCAGGCAGGTGCACTACGTTCTCCATCCATGTATATGATAAACAATAACAATATCTTTATGCAGGTCAGAAAGGGCGAGACGTTGGCCAGGCTGGTGAGCTTAGAGATGCAAGGCGGAAACAAGGTGGAGAACAGGCCAGAACGGACAAGAGAGCGGGAAATGCAACACTCCCTCTGATGTTCCTTGGTCTAGTGGCAGCGTTGGTGGTACCCACAAAGGGTGAGGAGAACTTCGGAGTAGTCGGATATGACTGCTCAGACCCCTCCAATATCTGGGTATATGATGCAGGAGCATGTTGTCAACACGACCAAGAAGTACAAGGAGAACCAGAAGTAGTGAAAATTCTACAAATAGTGAACACTGAAAAGTTAAATGGATTCAAGTGTAGAGTAAAGTCCCACAAAAAATATTATTATTGTGGCATGTTTAGTTACTCTAAGCCCATCATGTCGGCGGAAAGGGAAGAAACTTTAGTGATAAGTACCCAAGACTGCAGGACCATGGCAAATACAAAAGTATTCGTGACGCCCCAAGCCAGGAAATCCGAGAGTATTGTAGTTCCGGGTCAATCTTTTATCATGGAGTTTGAGGTGGGTTTTCAAACCGCCTCGAACTCCGCCCTCACGTGCCAGGGGATGGATGTACTGATGGACGGATCTATACAATCAGGCAACGTCATGCATACAGAGTATGAGGTAACAATAGAGGAAGAACTGTTCACCAAGAACCATGACCACGTGATCGCAAGATCGTCATCGGAGAAGTTAACATGTAACCCACATGGTCCAGGATTAGGTTGTGTTGGAGCTCTTCAGACCTATGCCTGGAATCCACCCAAGAGTAACTGCAGGTTCAGAGAAGTAAGAGAACTGACAGGAGTGTTTTCTACCTGGTCTTTCGCGGCGGAGCAGTCTCAGATTTATTACGAACTCAAGGGAGTTCAAAACCTACCTAATGAATGTGGAAACCACAAAGTTCAGATCACCAATGTACAAGACATTTATCTATTAAGGACAGCAGAAAACACAGAGGTCAAGCTTCATCCAATTAGTCCTGAAGAGCTAAGCAATGCTGCCGAGTTGAGATCACTGGCCTTGTTTCTGCGATACAAGATGGAAATCGGAGAAGGAAGAAGAACTGAGCTGGGAATCCAAATGCCCTGTGAAGCCAATGTCAAGGAACCCTCCGAAGCTCCGCCTCATCATTTAGGGGGAGGGGTATTTGTTTTTAAACGCGGAGAAATAGTGTACCAATACAGCTGTTCTCAAGTAACAGTCAAGTTAATGGAAAAGGAACATTGTTACCGCGATATCCCGATCCATCAAGAGAAGGAGTACAGGTTCATTTCTATTTCCAATAGAATGCTGGTCACCTCATCTGCTCAGGAACCCTGCATGCCGCATTTCTCAAAAGCAATGAAAGGAATCAAAAATTGGATTAAGATAAGTCCCAAGCTCAGGTCCATTCCTCCGCCACGGTCAGAGACGAAGGAGACTGCCCAAACTCATATCATGAAGACGAATTGGGTCTGTACACCCAGGCGGAGGAACGAGATTTTGACCACGTTGCCGGATTAGCCTTTTATACAGCTCAGGTTCAACAGCGAATCATACATGCTGTCTGTAAGAATGATGAGAGCTGTGATCTGAATCTGTTACCAGGAAGTCCATCATACTCTTTGACGAAACTAGAAGCTGAAGATTTTATAACGTTGGGCAGATGGAATTTTTTCCTCAAGAAAGCATGGGAACCAGTGTGGTATGCAATCCGAGTATATGCAACCATAGGAGGATGTATAACCACAACACAGTGGGCGTTCTGGGTCTTAGGAGTCCTGAAAAGGGGACTGGGTGTCTGCTGCAAGTCTCCTGTGGCGTAGAACAAGTTCAGCGACGCCGTCCTCTTGGAGCTCATGGGGGACTCACACCATGCTTCCTCCGCCCCAGCAAGGAAAGGCGGAGTTCGTTTTAACCGAAGGAAAGGTTCTGATGGAGAGGTAGAGTTGGGAATCCCTTCCTAACTCATGACGATCGATTCTATCATCATACTCCATGATGATAGAATCAAGACTGGATGTAAACCCATCCAGAAATGTATATACGTTGAAGATTGTATCCTAGTTCATTCAACCCAAGCCAAACTTTATCATGAGTTTAGAACTGGACAAACAAATAATAATGATTTAACCCGTTACTCTGCATCTGTTACCAACGAGGAGAGGAATTTTCCAGAGAGACGAGATTCAAACCCTGGTGACCCTTATCTGGGGAACACGGATAACGGTGCTTTCGTCGGCAGAGAAAGCAAACTGAACGTCCATTTTGTACCCCAGAAGAGAGGTAGTCTTGATTAAGTATCAGAGGAGAGCGGTCGATAACATCTCCAGTAGCTCCGGGAGGAGAATTTAAAATGTACAAAAGACACCCAAAAAAAATCTCTAGATTTTTGACATTGAGTTTTAAATTGTTTTTTTTCAGGTCCCTGTTGAAGATCGTAAATTTCTGCGGGATCAGAAGAACAAAGTTGGGCCAAAAAGCTCATTTCAGCTCGGCACAGTAGATCACAGTGCCAAGGTTTCCAAAGTACTGGGTTGGTATCACTACAGGAAAGATGAGAGGTACTTTTGCAAAGAGAAAAATCGGACCTGTGATGCATGCCAGATGGCTTACCCAGACCCTGGCTACAAGGATTCTCTGTCTCTATTCAAGAACAGAAACACCCTCTGAAAATCTCAAGAACCTGACTCAATACATTGTCCAGGTGTACACATTAACTTGGTTTCTTATCAAGAGAAGTTCTAGTTTTCATACTTCTCCTTCCATACTGTTTGAGATGATACAGCAGATTAAAAAACAAGAAGAAGTGATAAGGCAGATCTGTTTAAAAAATTTGTCAAAAAATTCTTACTGCCTTCTTCCAGAAAACTTTGTCTATTGTCTACTGAAATCTGATGATATTGAAACTAGGGAAGAGGGGTTGAAAGTACCCAGTAAACCAGATATCGTCGCGCGACCAGAAGGTCGCCATTTAGGCGTTTTTCCGACGTGGAGTCGACATGAAATCTGGTCGAAATAATTTCAACATTTTTTCGACCATGGACAACTACATATCGACATCGTATTAACGTTGCAAATTTAATGAAAATGACGTCATTTGCTTAGACCATTTCAACGTGGTATTAACGTCTTATTTACGACCGTCATTTGAGTATAGATTACCACGTTGTAATATCGTCGCATTCGCGACCTACCTTTCCATCACAAATTTTTATAAGTATAAAAGTTTGAAAGTTTTAAATGTCGTCTTTCAAGCCTCTTTATTATTCAAATTCCAAACCAAACCCTGTACAAGAGTGCGCGGCATCCTTGGCCGGCAATTGTTTATAATTAACCACATAAAACACTTGTAACGTTTTTTTCATTTAGAATCATCCATAATTTACGTTAGTTAGTCTGAAATGTATAGTTTAATAAGACTTAAGTTTTCTTAAAGCTCAATTCTGTATAAGTTTTATTTAAAATAGTGTTTTAAAGATAAAATGGCACCTGATAGAAAAAATTACTTTCGGGCCAGGCGGATGATGCTTAAATCGGGTAAATTTGTATTTGTAAAATCCGTTTCGTACAAATAACGAGAACTTTCATAATTAGTTATAAAATTTTCAACATTTTCTGGTAATTTCCTTGTGTACAATTTTTTCAAAATGACAATTGATTGGTAATTGTGTAATTGGTATATTCCTAGAGAACGATTTTTGGACCCCCCCAGCCCCCCCCCTCCTATCAATTTTGTACATG